CAAGGCTCTGAGCAAAACCATCTGGTATGGAGCCCGTGCCGTTTATTTAAGGATTTAATTAAATGCTCTAAACGGAGAGCTTCCCCGAATTAACGTTTTAAATGTGACTTATTGCAGGTTTAATATTGTCTTAATGCCAACCTGGGAAGCTCCAGCTCCAGGTTGTTGACGTTCAAATTGAATTCGTTGGGGGTGGCTCCAAGGGGACCCATTAATTAATCTAAACACCTAATGGGGATTGGTTCTGACTTTTGATGAAGATTATTTACTGAGACAATTGGCAATGAATAAAGAGTCACAGTAGGCAAATGCTTAATTGAATTCCGAAAAGTCTCATTGCGTTGAATATCGGGGATGTATCGTGTAAAAGAAGCTTTGAAATTCCATAAAAGGGGCCATCATTCAATCTTCTTAGCTGGGCATTAATGACGGAGTGAACGGGTAATTACATTTTCCTGGGTAATTTGCTGCTTGCAAAAGGAAAGACAACAGGTCTGGCTGGCTAATCTCGCTAATCACGTCCTTGGAAAGAAAAAAAAAAACCATAAACTTGGTCCTCGGCTGGTGTGAAGCAGCAGGACGGCTCAGTGCCACGCTGGGCTTCGCACGCACACACACATTCACACGCGTGCACCCCCCACACTGGGCTTCGCACGCACACACACATTCACACGCGTGCACACCCCCACACACACATGCACACATGCCCCTTCCACCATTTGGAACTGGCCTCCCTGAGAAAGCTGTGCCCCCCTCCCAGCCCCCTCCCTGGGTCAGGGCTGGAACCCCACTTGACTACGTGGGCGCCGGCGTGCTAGTCCCTCAGCTAGGGCCACGTGTTGCGCTGAGCAGAACAGCGGTTGCGTGTGCACCCCCGATCGCGGGGGAACTGTGAGTCTCAGGAGATGGATGCGGTGACGTGCCCCACGGGGCCCACTCTGGGCCCTGCTCCCCCCACTCCACGGGCAGGAATGCGGATGTTGTTTTTTTTCCACTCTGCTTCCCCCTCCTCCCCACCCCGAAGAGCACCTACTACTTACTTGTGCCTATGAAGGGGGGGGCTGGGCGCCCCATCTGCATTCCGCATGCGTCTTTGCCTGATGCCACTCACTCCACAGCGACCTTGGATTCCAACGAAGGCAGGAGTGGTGCACGAGGCATTTATGAAGAAAGGATCAAAGCTACGCCTCGGGAACAGCAGAGCCTGGAGGAGAGCCCCCCTCCCTCGGCCCCCCAGTAAGGACAAGTCCCCGTCCCTCCAAGGCTGTCCCCCGGAGCAGGGGTGTGACCTGATCCCCTCCAGCAATGGCCTTCAGAGAGAGCCAAGACTGGACCTCAGGTCACCCAGAGCCCCGCCTGACCGATGCCGGGCAGCTGGCGACTGGCAGACCACCAGCGGGACATGCGCGTGGGAGCAGGCACAGGCACCCCCACACACACCCCACCATGCTGGGTCCATGCAAACCGGTGTCTCCCTGCCCTCGGTCCCCGGCTCTCACACCCAGGCTTTGTTTTCATGGAAGCTACCTCTGGAATCCAGCAAAGCCAGCCCTACAGTTATGTCAACCACCAGGGACGCTGAGACAGAGGATCATCCATGAGATGAGGCCATCTCCAGCTACACAGACTCCTCCTGACACACATACACACACACACACACACACACACACACACATACACACGCACATGCACACACACATACACGCACACTCATCCTGACTCCCCCTCCCCCCACAACTCCAAATGTTTTTTTTTTTTTTTGGTTTTTGGGTTTTTTTCTGTCGGTCGTGGGACTTGAACTCTGGGCCTGGGCGCTGTCCCTCAGCTCTTCAGCTCAAGGCTAGCGCTCTACCACTTGAGCCACAGCGCCACTTCTGGTTTTCTGGTGGTTCCTTGGAGAAAGTCTCATGGACTTTCCTGCCCGGGGTGGCTTTGAACTGCGATCCTCAGATCTCAGCCTTCTGAGTAGCTCCAAATGTATTTTTTTTTATAATCAATTGAGGGGCTGGGAAGGTGGCTCAGTGGTAGAGCGCTTGCCTTAAGCTGAAGAGCTGAGGGTCAGCGCCCAGGCCCAGAGTTCAGGCCTCATGACCAGACCCCCCACACACACAAAAAAATCAATTGAAGTTAAAGCATTTGCAAAAAATGGATAGGCAAGTGTCTTGTTCCTGCTAATCTCAGGACCCCGCTCCTTTTCGCGCCTGCTATGCCCCCGTCATGCTCCATTGCTGACTCCGCAGAATGGCCTGTGCTCTGCCTGTCTGTGTGGCTAACTGGGTGGGCCCTCGGGTGTGAAAGGGTTCCGACCTGAGGTGCAGGGCTGGGCATGCGGCATCCAGTCCCAGCTGCTTTAAGAGACTGAGAGTCACGTGGGCTGTCTGTCCCAGGGCACTCCCCACCAGACTTGATTACATTTTAATCATTCATAATAGTGTGCATTTATTGCTGTCATAATTCAAAGTGACCTTCCCTGACACATGCTTAACACTGCAATTCACAGGCACAACTAGGAAAATCTGCTTCTAATAGTAATTATTCAGAACAAAAAGGCGGCTGGGAATGTGGCTCTGTGGTAGAATGCTTGCCTAGCATGCATGAAGTCCTGGGTTCCACATACACAGAAAAAGCCAGAAGTGATGCTGTGGTTCAAGTGGTAGAGGGCTAGCCTTGAGCAAAAGAAGCTCAGGGGCAGTGCCCAGGCCCTGAGTTCAAGCCCCAAGACTGGGAAAAAAAATGAAGCAAATCAGGCTTGGGATGCTATGTGTCCGATGAAACAGATCTACATCTAAAGTTACCTAAGACTGATTCTTTTTAATAGTGTTGAAGCAAAGCCACATGCTGGGGACATCCAGTGACCCCAGTGACCCCAGGACACTGCGCTCTGGGTCTCAGTTCAATGCCAGCCTAGATGGAAAAGTCCACAAGACTCCATCCCCCAAATAACCAGCTGAAAGCCAGACCGGAGGCATGGCTCAAGTGGTGGAATGCCGGCCAAGCCGGCACAAAGCCAAACTCAAACCCCAGGACTGAAAGAACCAAAACGATCCATGAACTCCAAGTGGATCTGATGAGTGAGTGGGATGGAAAGGGGGTGCCTCTCCCCACTTGGGGTGGGGGAGAGCCAGAGCACTGGCCCCCAGCGCCGCTCTGCAGTAAAATCTTCAAAACACAGATCCAGTTTTGTGCATGCAACTCCTTACTGGTCGCCATGGTGACAGGAGAAGGCTTGGGCCTGGGACAGCCCAGCCAGCGGCCGCCGGCTCAGTGGAGGGTCCGGGCTGCTTTTGGGAGCAGCAGGTGGAGAGGTGGAATAAGGGAGCCTCGGCCCCGGTGTGTGTGATTTCTTTTTATTTTATTTTATTTTATTTGTGAACATACTGTACAGAGGGGTTACAATTACATGGGCAGGATAATGCGTACATTTCTTACCAAGCATTGCAGCCTCCTCCTTTGTTTACCCTTCACATCCCTTCCCAGCTTCCCCCCTAACCCCCCAGTCCCAATCTTCTCCCCCCCCCCCCGCCCCCGCCCCGCCCCGAAGTTGTAAAGCTCGTTTTGGACATGACAACTTGTACTTCTCATTGTTGCAACAGGTCCACCTGTATCCTTAAACGACTTGTTTTTCCCCATCTCCTCCACAAGTTATACTGACATCAAATATAGTGAAAGCAGGGGTTATACTGTGGGGGAGGGACATACAAAGCAACAAAGAAATAATCTTATAAATGCATTAGAAACACATGCATGAAAGAAAGAAACATTAAAATACATATCTAAGGGTTCATTTTCCTAACATCACATTATCTGTCCTTTTCCGCTTGACACATACATATACTAGTTATTGCAAATAAGGGAAACCATGGGGCCTATGTTTCTTTGGGCCTGGCTTACTTCGCTTAATATAATTTTTTCCAAGTCTTTCCATTTCCTAACAAATAGGGCAATGTCATTCTTTCTAATGGAGGCATAGAATTCCATTGTGTATATATACCACATTTTCTTGATCCATTCATCTACTGAGGGGCATCTGGGTTGGTTCCATATCTTATCTATGGTAATTAATGCTGCAATAAACATAGTTGTGCTGGTAGCTTTAGTGTGGTCTTGTTTGTAAACATTTGGGTAAATGCCCAAAAGTGGGATTGCTGGGTCATAGGGGAGTTCTATGTGGAGTCTTTTGAGGAACCTCCATACTGCTTTCCAAAGTGGTTGAACAAGTTTACATTCCCACCAACAATGAAGTAAGGTTCCCTTCTGTCCACATCCCCTCCAGCATGTGTTGTTGTTAGAGTTCTTGATTTTTGCTGTTCTAACTGGAGTGAGGTGGTATCTCAATGTTGTTTTGATTTGCATTTCTTTTATGGCTAGGGATGTTGAGCATTTCTTCATGTGTCTATTGGCCATCCTTCTTTCTTCTTCAGAGAAGTTTCTCTTTAAGTCTTTCGCCCACTTGTTTATTGGGCAGTTGTTTCTTTGAGGATTTGTTGTTGGGGGATTTAATTTTTTGAGTTCCAAGTATATTTTAGATATGAGACCTTTGTCCGTTGTATGGCTAGTAAAGATCTTCTCCCAATCCGTGGGCTTTCTATTGATCTTGCTAGCTATGTCCTTTGCCATGCAGAAGCTCTGCAACTTTATGCAATCCCATTTGTCCAACCTTTCTTTGATTTGTTGTGTTTCCGGGTCTCTATTCAGAAAATTTCAGCCTGAGCCAAGGAGACCTAGGGTTTCTCCTATTCCATCCTGTAATGTTTTCAGAGTGTCTGCTTTGACTTCGAGGTCTTTGATCCATTTGGAGTTGATTCTGGTGCAGGGTGATATATAAGGATCTAGCTTTAGTTTTCTACAAGTCGTTAACCAATTTTGCCAGCACCATTTACTGAAGAGGCTGTCTTTGTTCCATTCTATTGTTTTAGCTCCCTTATCGAAGATTAGATGGCTATAGGTCTGTAGGTTCATTTCTGGGTTTTCAATTCTACTCCATTGGTCCTGAGGTCTGTTCTTATGCCAATACCAAGCTGTTTTGATTACTCCTCCAACTCTTCAATGAAATTGAAAGAGAAAGTTCACTACCGAACACATTCTATGAAGCCATCATAACCCTCATCCCAAAACCAGGCAGGGACTCACCAAAGAAAGAGAACTATAGACCCATTTCTTTGATGAACATTGATGCAAAACTACTCAACAAAATATTGGCCAACCGACTTCAACAATTCACCCAAAAAATCATACACCATGATCAAACAGGATTCATTTCAGGGATGCAAAGCTGGTTCAATATACGCAAATCAATATTATTCATCACATCATCAGGAGCAAGAGTAAGAACCACATGGTTATCTCAATAGATGCAGAAAAAGCATTCGACAAGATCCAACACCCCTTTATGATGAAGGTTTTGGAAAAATTAGGAATCCATGGAACATTCCTCAATACAATAAAGGCTGTATATGACAAACCTACAGCCAGCATCATACTCAATGGTGAAAAACTAAAGCTATTTCCTCTTAACTCAGAAACAAGACAAGGATGTCCACTCTCTCCACTTCTCTTCAATCTAGTATTAGAATGCCTAGCTACAGCAATAAGACAAGATGCAGACATAAAGGGGATCCAAATAGGGAAAGAAGAAATAAAACTTTCCCTCTTTGCAGACGACATGATCTTGTATTTAAAGAATCCCATAGACTCCACTCCCAAATTACTCAAGCTGATTCAAAACTTTGGCAAAGTAGCAGGGTATAAAATTAACCCCCAAAATCAATGGCCTTTCTGTATGCCAACAAGGAGAAAAATGTGACTGAAATTAGGAAAGCAACTCCATTTGTAATAGCCCCACAAAAAATAAAATACCTAGGAATTAACCAAAGAAGTGAAGGACCTCTATGATGAAAACTTTAAAATCTTGAAGAAAAGGAAATCAACACAGAACTTAAAAAGTGGCAAAACCTCCCATGCTCCTGGATTGGAAAGATTAACATCGTGAAAATGGCAATACTTCCCACGGTGTGTGTGATTTCTAACAACCTGTCTGACAAGTAGGAAACCAAGTGAGAGCCCGGGACAGGGGGACACCGCCCCTCCCCCCCATGTCAGAGCCAGGTGGGGCGGCTGGGACGCCCCCTGCGGGCAGGAGCAGCTGCGGGCGTGGGTGGTGCCACACACCAGGGCCACAGGGACGGCAGGCCACTGCCAAGGCAGGATCTCTTTGGGATGTGAGTGGGTGTGATCACCCCTCAATGCCCAGATGTGCTTCCTCTCCTGGTCCAGCAGCCCCTGCGGGGCTCCTCCCACTGCCTGTCAATCACATATAATAAGGAATAGAGAGAATCATACACCAATGTCCTGCACTGGAGCCTTCACAAACATCCACGAAAGAGCAGCGCCCCAAAACTCTGGAAGATGATTGAAGCCAGGCAGTTCTGCCCACTCAGCCGCCCTCGGTCCCCTTGGGTCTGACCCCCCACCCCCGAAGGCAGAGCCCAGTGCCATCAAGCCACATTGTCACCGAGCGATGGAAGGATGGGTGGTGGGACCCCAGAGCCAACGGAGTCCCTGGCCAGCACCAGGCTGATGCTGCGCGCGCTTCCCAGGGGTTTTCTGTTGGACAAATGAGGCTTGGCATCCTCAGAATGAGATTATTTCAGAATTTACTGTGGCCTGGAGGCAGTGAGGAATGACAGCGGCTCAGACACAGGGGAAAGCCACAAGTGCGCGCAGAGGCAGCGCCCACCCCGGCGCACGCGGCCCATCCCCAGCAGGGCCCCAGCGTGACACCGAAATGTGCCCACGGAACCACAAAACACAAATGACCAGGACCTGGGAAGGTGGCTCCGTGGTAGAGTGTTTGCCTCACACGCACAAGGTCCTGGGTTCAGCACCACATAAGCAGAAAAAGCCGGAAGTGGCGCTGTGGCTCAAAGTGGTAGAGCGCTAGCCTTGAGCTGAAGAGCTGAGGGACAGTGCCTAGGCCCAGAGTTCAAGCCCCATGGCTGACAAAAACAAAAACAAAATGACCATGGGACCAGTGAAAAGACATGATTATGAATCCAATGGAAATGTGACCATAGAACCAATGGGAACCATGGCCACAATACCAGTGGAAAACATAGCCATGGAACCAAAGAGAGAACGAAAAACATGACCACAGACCAGTGAAAAACTTTGCCAGTCTTCATCACCCCAAATTAAGGCAGCAAGACTATACAACAAAAGGACTAATCAGAGATGCAAGTGCTCAAAGACCAGAGGAAGATGTTTGTGAAATACTCCAGAAAAGTGAGAAGATAAATAACAAAACTACAGCTGTTAGCCAGGCTCTGGTGGCTGGTGGCTCATGCCTGTAATCCTAGCTATTCAGGAGCCTGAGGCCTGAGGATAGCGGTTCAAAACCAGCCTGGGCAGGAAAAGTCTGTGAGACATTTATCTCCCATGAACCACAAAAAACCAGAAGTGGAGCTGTGATTCAAGTGGTAGAGCACCAGCCTTGAGCAAAAGAGCTCAGCCCCAGGATAGGAAAAAAAGAAAAGAATAGATAGATCGAGATAGATAGATAGATAGATAGATAGATAGAGATAGATACAGATATAGATCCCTGAGGTGATCAGACAGCAAGCCTGCTAGACGGGGATGAAGAGCTGCGCACAGAGCTGGGAAGTCACTCCAAACTCTACCGGCTGTGTCCGGTGAAACTCCCTCGAACCTTGCTGGCCACAGACGCTCACCTTGGGTAAAGACCTTTATCATCGCGCTATTGAGCTTGGGATGCACAGGATGTGAGTTAGGGGGCTCGGCGGGGATGTGGTGGGCAGGGGGAAGGGGGGGTTAGTGGTGTCCGGCACGCTCACCCAGCCCGCTTGTCAACCACGTTGTAGGGGGGACCCCCCACTCACAGGGTCATGGGTATTTCCCCCCCTCAAAGCGCACAGCCCTGCCCGGGGGTGGGAGCCCGCCAGCATGCTCTGTGAGCTCGGCACTGCCCGCCGGCCTCTCCCCCTTCCCCGCCACCCCCCACCCCGCTCCTGGAGTCTATTTCACTCCATTTCCCTGGCTGCCAACCTTCAAAATGCCGAGCGAGCGAGCAAGCGAGCGAGCGCTCCACCTGCCCTGGGGGAAGTAATTTTGTCTCTTAGCCCTGAATGTCACCACAGAAACCCTCTCCGGGCCGGCTGCTGACTGACTGGCTTCTCCTTCAGCTTCAAAGGCAAAGAGGGCACCCCCACCCCCGACCCCCCCTCCACGGAGCGCCGGCCGGCTTTGGTGTTAAAATCCCACGCTGCCATTGCCCAGCCTGAAAGAGACGCGGGAGGCGATTGATCCACACGCAGAGCTTAGCTCTGAGGAAGCTGCGCAGTAAACATTTTGTGCAGCTGTTTTTATTTTTTTTAATGTGGGTGCTGAGGTCCAAGGAAAGGGAAAAATGCTCACATGATGACCTGAGCTGCAGAAAAGGCAGGGCAGAGTCTAGTTTCAAGTGTGTAAAAAAAGGGAATTTAGACAATTGGGAAAGACTATCCGTATTTCAGACAGAGAGAAAGCGGAGACAATTGATTTACTTCTTTGAACGTTTCCATTTTTCCCAGTTTGCACAATCCTTGAGTGACACACAATCAAAAAGTGTTTAAAAAAGAAAGCACAGCCTGGCGCCAGTGGCTCACGCCTGTCATACTAGCGACTCAGGAGGCTGAGATCTGAGGATCATGGTTCAAAGCCAGCCCGGGCAGGAAAAGCCATGAAACTCATTTCCAATGAACCACCAGAAAACCAGAAGTGGTGCTGTGGCTCAAGTGGTAGAGCGCTAGCCTTGAGCTAAAGATCTGAGGGACAGCGCCCAGGCCCAGAGTTTAAGCCCCACAACTGACAAAAGAAAGGGCAGGGGGAGAAGAAGGAGGAGGAGGAGGAAGAGGAGGATGATGATGGTGAGGATGACGACGGTGGTGGGCAGAGAAAGGATTACATGGCAGCCATGAGAAGGCAGCACTTGGGTGGATCTCCAGCTGTCTCCAAGGGCAGCTTTACTGGGTGGAGGGGAAAGCCCTGTGCTGATCACTAAGCAGTCCAGGCCCCGGGCATGGGTCCCCGGGGTCGGAGGTGGTCTGGGGACCACCGTGTCAGGAGGGGCTGGGGAGGGTGGGTGGGAGTGTCCCGGCTGGTTGTCATCTCAGCCCTGGTTCCCAAGGGTTCCAGAGCGAGCTGGTTCCATGAGTGGATGGGTGAGGCCTGCTCCAGCGGCTCCTGGGGGGGGGGGGGGAGAGGGGGTCTGTGCAGCCAGGCTCCTCTGTACCTTCAGGGTGAAGTCACAGACCCCACCTGGCTTTCCTGGAACACAAGGCCATTGCAAAGCCACACAGACACAGAGCCACGAAGCTCCTCTCCCTGCTCTCTTAGAATTCGGGAGCCCAGGAAAGCAGTTTCTAAGAAGCCACCTCAGGATGGGGGTGGGGAGCAGGACAGACAGGATCTGGGGACCAGAAGGAAAATCACCCAGGCGCTGGTGGCTCACGTGAGCCTGTCATCCTAGCTCCTCAAGAGGCTGAGATCTGAGGACGGCAGTTCAAAGCCAGCCTGGGCAGGAAAGTCTGAGAAATTCTTATCACCAGTCAACAACCAAAACTGGAAGTGGCACTGTGGCTCAAAGTGGTAGAGCGCTAGCCTTGAACACAAAGGCTCAGAGACAGCGCCCAGGCCCTGAGTTCAAGTCCCATGACTGGGGGGCGGGGGTACAGAGGGAAGAAGGAGAGCTAGCACCCTCCAACCCCAGGCCTGGAACTGCGAGCTTGGACAGGGCCTTCCTCCCTGCTGAAGCAGACGCTCGCCGGGCTGCAGCGTGGGGAGAACCCCAAGTTGTGCATTCGCACCCAGCCTGGCGGCAACACTGCACTGCCACTGGGGATTGTGGCAGAAGCACCCGGCTCCCCGTGGGCGGGACGGGGCGCAGCCTGGGCCCCTGGTCCTCCTGGGGAAAGCTGTCCCTCACAGGGAAGGAGCCAGCCTTTGTCCGGGCAACGACTGGGCTTTGTTCCTCAGAGATGGAGCCACTTCCAGCCCGGCCCCCGGGCTTGCTCGTAAGCACCAGGGGATTTTGAGAGGGTGCAGAGGCCTGGGCCAGGGATTTGCTCAGGGAGTTTATCATAGGGAAAATGAGGTGCGGGGGGGGGGGGGGGGGGGGGGGGGAAACGGCGAGCATCAGTGGAGATCAGTAAATTATTCACACATCTTCTTCCACTCCAGAAAGCTTGCCAACAAACACCCTGAGATTTCCCCCATCCATTTTTAAAGAAGACCAAAAAAAAAAAAAAAAAAAAGGAGGAGAAAAATATCGTAAGGTTTAATTAAGAAATTAAGCCGTCCCCTTCCTAAATACTGCATTCTGCATTCATGGCCTCCAGGAAAGAAAGGGGGAAGGGAAGCGCCTAACCAACCACTCGAGGAAAGCGCTTCTCATGATCTGCAAAATCTGATGCCCAAAATAGCCCCGCGGTTGCCTGGGCAACCAGTACGGACTCCCCCCTCCCCCCCCCCCCCCCCCAGCGCCGGCTCCCTTTGCATATCGCTGAGTATTTCTATCATGTCTTTCCAGGCGGAGTTCATAAACACGGCGGCATAATGCAGCACCTTATCACTGCTGACTTACAGCCCAGCTGCGCCCGGGGAGATAGCGGGCGGCAGGCAAATACAATTTCATGCGGCGGGGCCAGCGGATTGATTGGGTGCCCTTCAGAGGCGCTGCCACTTGGTGAAGTCAGCCCCGGATTCAGAAAGAAAGTTGGTCTCGCCCTCCTTGTGCTGGCTGTGGACGATCGGTGCAGGGTTCATGCCCGGGAGTCTCATTAGGGCTGGAACAATTTTGCCCTGAGACAGGGATTAAACCACCACACCCCGCAGCTTGTCCCCCCCCCACACGCCCTCCTCTCCCCAGTCTAAGTGCCTGCTGGGCCTTCTTGAATTAATTACCCTCCCTTCCCGAGGATGGACTCGAGCTGGGGAGGGGCGGAGGCAGGGCGGGCAGATTTTTCTCATCTTTGCCTGGCTCTTCTAGGTTGTTTTGGGTTTGGGTTTTGGTGTTTTGAGGGGGGGTAATGCATTGAGGGGTTCATGCAGGAAGACAGGGCACTCAGCCTGGCTTTGGAGAGCCCCTTCTGTCCAGAGAGGAATGTGTTGTTGTTTCGATTGTTTTATGCTGGTCCTGGGCCGGAGTGCCGTTCCTGAGCCTGCTTTGCTCAGTCTCTCCTTGCTGCAGTCTGGAGGCTGACTGTCCCCCAAGACCCTGTCAAGGGTCTGGTCCCCAGGCAGGCTGCTGAGAGGCGCCGGGGACCCAGCCCTGTCCTCCTCCTTTTTTCCTTCCTGCACCATGTTCTCCATCTCAAGTTCCTGGTCATCACCCCAGCAGAAGCCCAAAACCACGAGCCAAACACAAACCACGAGCCAAACACAAACCTTTTCTCTTGGTAACTTGTCTCAGGCATTTTGTTTCCGTCATGGAAAGCTGACAGAAAGGCTGCCCCAAGAAGCACTGCTCTCCGTCACCCCTTCCACAACGGCTGCCAAATCCCAGTCTGCCTTGTTTTGGTGGGTTTCCGTCTTCTGGATATCCCCTATAAATGGAACCACACAATCCGTGACTGGTTTGTTTTTTCACTTAGCATAATGTGTTGACGTTTATCCACATTGTATCATATATCAACACTTTTCCCCCCTTTTTAATGGCTAAAGAGTATTCCATTGTATTTATATAACACAATTTATTTCTCTATTTGTCCACTAACAGGCATCTGGGGTTTTTTTCCAGAACATTCATAAAATATCAGTATTCAACTGTTTTCCAAATGGGCCATACCATTTCGCTCATACCAGCAACCCACGAGGGCTCCATTTTCTCCACATCCTGTCCTCGGTTATCGGTGTTGATTCTTGGCAGGCGTTCAGTGGTTTTTGTTATGGTGCTGACTCACATTTCCCTAAGGACCGCAGGCCTGTGCAACTTTCCCTGAGCGTGGGGCCCCTGGAGCACTGGGATGTGGCCTTGCTTTACTCTCTTGGCCCTCCCTGCAAAGAAGGACACATCTTCCAGAAAGATCTTCACCCACAGGGCCAAGCAGTGGGACACCTGGGCCCCACTGAGAGAGAATTTATACCTCTGTCCTCAGCTCTTTCTGGCTGTGGAGCAGAGAGAGAAAACTGCAATAGAAACCCAAAGGTTTCTCTGCTGTTGCAGAAGCAAACTTTGTGTGTGCACACATGCATGTGTGCACATGTACATGTGTAGGTGTGTGTGCACACGTGCCAGTACTGTGGCTTGAACTCAGGGCCTGGGCATGATCCCATAGCTTTTTTGGCCCAAAGCTGGTGCTCTACCACACATCCACTTCTGGCATTTTGGTGGCTAATTGGACATAAGATTCTCACGGACTTTCCTGCCTGGTGTGGCTTCAAACCACAATCTTGAGCTCTCAGCTTCTTGAGTCATGCCAGGATTACTGGCATGAGCCACGGAGCTCCTGCTACCATCTGAAGTCTCCCTGCCCCGGCATCTCCCCCAGGAGAAGGGTCAGTGGGAAAGTTCTTTTTATTTTCCTTGCTAGCTGAAGGAAGTCTGAGTAAATCCTATTTGTTTTCCTCCTCTGGGAACATTTCCGAGAAAAGCCAAACAAGACGGGCTTTGTGTTGCAGGGACAATGAGGATCTTTGGAGGACAGAAAGTTCACCATTATTTCTCCCTCCTCTAAAACCTTACACCCTGTCACCATAAAGCATCTCTGCGGCTGTCAGATGATCGGGTCCCATGATCTATGGGAGCATTACGCGGAAGAAAATGGTGCTGAAAAATGACAGGGTGGCCCTGGGCCTCGGCCCCGTGGGCCTTCTCCACGCCGTATTTCAGTCCTCCCATGCCAAACACCTGTGTGTCCTCCTCCATGTGACCAACCCAGTCAGCGCGTGAGCAGACGCGGCCACACCGCCCTCTGTCCTGGAGAAGAGGCAGAGGGGCGCCGCTGCCCCCCTCAACCATCCCCGCAAAAGACCGGAAGTGAGGGGCTGTGACCATGAGAAGATGGGGAACCAGCACAGAAAAAGCCTCCTCTATGTCTGCCTCTCGTCACACTAAAACCGACTCCCCTCTGCCCACCGTCCCCGGGTGCTGCCCCAAAAAGGGTCGCACCCCCTGAGACCCGCTTACCAGTGAGGACTCAGCCCCCAGGGCGCCCCGCAGCCAGCTTAAGAGCCCTGGTGCCTAGATCTCACCTCCCACTGGTAAAAGCCAGCCGCAGGGGGCATGCCTGGTGGTCCACAGTCTTGAAACCATCATGAAGAATGCCTTGCTTCTCAATACGGTAGTGCACACCTGCAATCCCAGCCACTCAGGAAGCTAAAAGGCAGGGGGAGGGAGAGGGACCGCAGGCTCAAAGTCAACCGGGCCAATAGAGCAAAATACACTGGCAAATGCACAGCCGAGCAAAGGCGCCCCAATCTTCACATCCCAGGGTGCCACCTGCGGCCGGCTGGATGTCTGGGGTGGGGTGGGGTGGGGTGGGATGTTTCCTTTCTCTACAGATGTTAAAAACATAGAACAGCTGTTGGATAACAGTGGCTTACACCTATAATCCTAGTTATTCAGGAGGCTGAGATCTGAGGATTGAGGTTCGAAGCCAGCCCAGACAGGAAAGTCCATGAGACTCAGACATACATACCTCCAGTTAACCAGCAAAAAGCCAGAAGTAAAGGCTGGACCAAGTGGTATAGCACCCACTTTGAGTGAAAAAGCTAAGGGACAGTGCCAAAGCCCTGAGTGCAAGCCCCAAGACTGGTATCGACACACACAAAGATCCCCCCCCCCCCACGCGCTGCATAAAACACTTGGAAAGAACAAATAATTCCCACGCAAACAGCAAAAGGAAAGGCAATTTTCATCAGCGGCAAACCCATAAATCTTGATATGTTTTATGAATCTCACTTACATTTCCTGTCCGACTTGTGCATAAAGCTTCTCCAGATTTATACAAGCCAACTGCGTAAGTCATCCCCTTCCCAAGCGAGCTCTCTATCTTGATGACCTTCTGGAAACCAATGACGGCCTTTCTGTTGTTATCCATAATTGGAAAAGCACCGGAGATAAGAAAATTTATGACAATAAATGATCTACCTGGGCAAAGCCATAAAGAAGCCGGGGTGTCTGGAAGAAGGGCTGAGGGAGGAAGGCGTCTTCACCCCGTTTATCAAATGTTATCTCCGCCAGCCAGGTTTCCCACAGTTCCTGACACCCGTGGCCGGGGCGTGTGCAGGCCAGTCCTGGACCCTGCCAATGAAGGTCAAAAGAGACACAGTCTTCCCCACCACCTGACTCCTTTTCTTCATCGATTCCGGCTCTTTCAATGGCGTTGAAGATGAGCGAAACGCCGGGTGCCGAGGGCTCATGGCTGTAATCCTAGCTACTCAGGAGGCTGAGATGTGAGGATCACAGCTTAAAGCCGAATCTGGGCAGGAAAGCCCAGGAGACTCTCATCTCCAATGAAGCACCAAAAAGGCAGAAGGGAAGCTGTGGCTCAAGGGGTGGAGTGCTAGCCTTGAACAAAAAAAAACCACCTCGGGGGTAGTACTGCCCATGCTCTGGGTTCAAGCCGCAGCCCTGGCACAAACTAAATCAAATCAAATCTCACCAGATCTCTCCCAGACCTTCAGCCCCTCCCCTGCCTTTTCCAAGCCCTGAGAGGGAATCCAGCCTCCTGCTACTGGAGCTCACGGCCCTGCAACCGGGCCCAGCCACCGCCCGGGCCCCGGGGCCTTGCTCTGTCCCTCGCACACACCAAGCCTGGCCCCATCTTGAGGTCTTTGCATTTGCCTGGAAGTTTCCTCACAGTAGTGACTCTTAGTGACTGCAATTTCAGTGGAGATGTCACCGAGAGGCGCGCCTGCCTGGACTCCTTCATAAAGCAGCCCCGGCCTCTGCTATTTTCTCTCTCTCTCTCTCCCCCTCCCTCTTGCTCTCTCTTTCACACCCAGCTCTGTTACAGAAGCTGGCACACCGTAGGCAACTGGGGTGGAGGGGGAGGAAGGAGGTTTGGGGGGAGGGGTTGACCCTCCGCTGACTTTGGGGAGCAGCTCTCGCAGCTGAAGGCACCTCCCACTATGGCCTCAGTGGAGGACAAGCAGGAAATGAGCTTCTGGGGATGGGGGGAGAGAATGTGGGGACCTGGAATGGGGGTGAGGACATTTCCTGCCACTGTGCTTTCTACCCGAGGCCTGCGTGAAGTCCAGACCCAGGGAGGCAGGGCCCCTCCCCCTGCCCCTCCCCCCACTGGCCCTGGAGAGCCCAGAACTGGACATGGGCCTTCCTCCAGGGAGTCTGGCCCCATCTCACGGGCTGCTCGCCCCTCCCCTCCCCACGGAGCTGCAGGCCCAGGACAGCCTCAAGCATGGCTGTCTGCTCAACAGCCACCTTGGCAGAGGAGACATGGCTTTTCCAGAGACTCGCAGCCTCCTCTAGCCTGTGGAGGTACACTCCCCCACCCTTGGGGAGCCAGGACTTGGGAGGCCTACAAGTGGGGAGCTCTGCCATGAACTTGACCTCTCTGAGGTGTGGGGGGCGGGATGCAGGGGAACTTTTCATTTCCATGGCAACACTGGGGAAAGGCCTGAGCCAGTGCCAGCACCCCAGCCCCGGCCCCCAGGATGGAGCCTGGTCAGGCTGCCCTGGAGCAGTGGGCTGGGGGCCTGGTGCCCCAGGGGAGGGGGGGAGGAGGCTGGGTCCTGGGGAAGGTCCCCCAAGTGGCCAGCAATGCCCCCCCCCCCCGCAGTCAGCAGCAGACTGCACCACGCTGCCCTCTCCACCCCTCCTGCCTGCCACAATGAGCATGCCGTTGCGTCTTTCACTCAAGGAATCAATTTGGAATTTGAGCTAATGGGCACGTGGTGGGTGCCAGCAAAATGTGGTTGGATCTTTAACAGAGCTGAATAGGGTACTGGGCAGATGCCAAGGGAACACCAGTGTGCTGTTCCCTCCCCCTCTTCCCTTCTCCTCCCTTCCTTTCCTCTCCTTTCTGTAGTCTCTTCTTTCCCTCTTTCTCCACCTCTTCTCTCTCCCTCCCTTCCTGTCTCCTGTGTCTCTCCCTTGCTATTCCTTTCTCTATGTTCCTCTCCCCACCCCCCACCCCCCAGGATCTTAGGTGCTGGAGTGCTGGACACTCGGCCTCTGGTAAGACACAAGCCCACAGTCCCAGCTGGCCCCTCCCGTCCTGCGCCACTGGGCTCAGAACCACCTCCACAACCCAACTCTCTCCTCCCTCATCCGTCCCCACAACCCCTGGTGTGCACCTGCCAAGGAATCTCCCAAGCCCCCACGGATGGTGGCTGTAAATGTTGAGTGCCACTTCACAGAGCTGCAAACCGAGGGTCTGACCCATCTCAGAGCCCAATCCAAGGGCAAGCCTGCCCAGTCCATCTGGCAGAAGAGTTTCTATGGATATAATATGTGGCAAGCTGCAGAGTGGGTGCAAGGCCCATCTAAAAAACACAGTGAAAAAAACAAAATGCAGAAGCCAAGCTCACCACTGTAATCCTAGCTACTCAGGAGGCAGAGCTCTGAGGATAATGGTTCAAAACCAGCGTGGGCAGGAAAGGTCTGTGTGACTCTTATCTCCATGAGCCACCAAAGAAAAACAGCCAGAAGTGGAGCTTTGGCTCAAGTGGTGGAGTGCCAGCCTTGAGAAAAACAACAACAAAAACAAAACTCAGGGGCAATGCCCAGGTCCTGAGTTCAAGCCCCAGGATTGGAGAAAAAAAAAAGGAAATGAGGCCTAAATGGCAGCATGCTTACCTCGCTTGTGCAAGGCCCTGGGTTCAATCCTCAATACCTCAGCAAAGAAAAAAGAAAGTGGAAGGCAAGGCCCCAGGGCAGGGCAGGGCAGGGCAGGGCAGCCCCCATCTCAGATTGAGGGTCTCTAAGGGCCTCAGGAGCCTGGCTCAGTTCCGGGCTCAGTTGAAGCATGTGATCTGGGCTAAGCCAATCAGTGGGGCTTCCCACCCCCTTTCCACAGTGATTGGCTCAAGGGCAGGCACCCCGACCAATCCCGATAAGGCCTGTGCCCTCCTCAGCAGGGAGAACAAAGAGACCCTCTCACGGCCCTGGCCGGGCCTGGGAGCGGCCGGCCCGCCGGAGCCCTGCTGTGCGCGTGCAAACACGCGTGTGTGCACACACATGCGCGCACGCACACACACACGTAGATGCCGGCTGGGTCCTGGCGAGGCAGGAGGGCGCCCCGGGAAGGAAGGCCCGTCACCCAATCTGTCCTTCCAGGCTGGGGGCTCCGCGCCCCGTTCCCATCTGCACACCGCCGCAGGGCAGCCTCCGCGAGGGCCCATCCCGGCTTCGCAGGTGGGGAGCTGGGCGCAGGAGCGCGGGTCTGCGTCCCCGGCTCCCACCACGCACGGAGAGCCGGGTGCGGGCACACGCGGCCCACCCCCGTGCCCGAGATCCCCCCCTTCGAAGCCCGGAGCCGTTCACGGGCATCGAAGCCGAAGCCAGAGGGGTCTTGGTCCTGTCCAGGGACCAAGGCAGGGACCAGCAAGATTGTGCTTGTGCGGGCTGGGAATTTTGGTGGCTCCCAGGTCACAGGTCACCAGGTATCCCAGGTAGCAGGTCACTAAGTATCCATTAAGCAGAGAATCTCCAAAGGAATGAGAACCATCAGTTTGTTTTCCACAAAGGAAAGGACACTTTTTCAGAAGTGCTGGGACAACCGTCTTCTATACCTGCTACTTTATTAAAAATGGACTCCCTGAGGCTGGGTGTAGTGGCTCATGCTACTTGGGAAACTGAGAGGGAGAGGCCCGTGGTTCTAAACTAACCCTGGCAAAAAGTTAGTGAGACCTCACCTCCTATCAACTCACAAGCCAGGCATGGGATCTTGGGCCTGTAATCTGGCTATGTGAGAGGCATTGATAAGAGGAATCCTGCCCTAAGTGCGCGCGCACACACACATATACACAACTCACAAGACACTACCCCCCAAAATAACTAAATGCAGCCGGGCGCTGGTGGCTCACACCTGTAATCCTCGCTACTCAGAAGGCTGAGCTCTGAGGATCGCAGTTCAGTGAGTTGCAGTTGGACTTCCCCTCTGCCACCGTCGTCACAGACGGCAGGCAGAAGCTCTGGGTGTGGAAGTTGCTTGACTTTATCCCCGATTCCATGATGCTCCCTGCTGTGTGGGCCTAGAGGCTGGGGGAGGCATCACGGAGACCCCATCCAGGCTGAAAGGCCCCGCAGGGATGTGATTTGTGACTGCTCAGGTGAAAGGTGGAGGGGAGGAGGGGCGGGGCTAAGCCAAGGTGGCCCAGCAGGGGGAAGAGCGGAGGCTGGCCGGGTGCCAGGTGCCATGTCAGCAGCCTGCCACCACCGCCTGCTGGGGGGGGGGTGAGCCGAGGGGCAGAGGGCTGGGGTCGGCCGTGAGGGACCATCCAGGCTTAAAAGCACCTGACCTGGTGACCCCTCCACTGCAAACTAAAAGGCCCTCTGACCCTGAGGACCCAAAAACACACACACACACCCCCAAACACATACACACATATACACACATACACCCCCCAAACACACACACATATACACACATACACCCCCCAAACACACACATATGCACATACACACACCCCAAACACACCTACACATATACACCCCCAAACACACACGTATACACACATACACCCCCCAAACACATACATATACACACATACACCCCCACATACAGATATACACCCCCCACATCCACATCCATATCCACATCCACAGTCACACACACACACACACACACACACACACACACAAGGTACGAAGCTGGGGGGGGGCAGAGCCCACGCCAGCTTCCCAGCCAATGAGACAGCCCGGCTGGCACCCATTTGGCCTAGCCAACCTCCCTGCCTTAAACCAGTCAGCTGATGTGCATTTCTTCAAGGGCCCTGGCACCCGTGTCCCACAAGGAAGCAGGCGAGGGGACAGGAGGAGGGGCTGGACCTCACCGTGAGGAAGGCAGGGCACAGGTGACCTGCCGGGTCATCGCAGGAAGGGAGGGGCTGGCGGAGGGCAGGGGAAGGCCACGACCTGGCCCGGCTGGTGGACAGGCCTGCCTTGGCCACCCACCTGGCAGCAGGCGCTGGGCACAGGCCAGGTCACAGTGCTGGCGGCCAGGACTGAAGCTGTGGGTGGGTCCTGGCAGGGAAGGCTGTGTACAGAGCCTGTCTGAAGGGATGCAGTGCACCCTGTCTACAGAGACGTTAGGCTGGTGCACACAAGCCTGGGGGTCCCCAGCTCTGTCTCTGGTGACCAGTGGGGAGCCCCCCTCCTGCCCTGGAACAGGAGTCACATAGGAAAGGATCCCAACCATGAGATGCCATCTTGAATTAGCGGGCAAAAAGCGGACCTGGAGGCATGGCTCAAGTGATAGAGCACCAGCCAAGCAAGCAAGCCGAGCACACATGAGGCCCCCAGTTCTCACAACAGGGGGCTTGGCCAGGCTAAAATGGGAGCCTCAGGCAAGGAAAGTAACCAGAAGTCGCATTTTCCAGAATGCAAGCAACATCAGTGGACTTACCCTGGGACTCAGGACTTCTGGAAGGAATTCGTCCCTCCCAGCAGCACCCCCTCCTGTAGCTGTGGAGAACTGCAGCCCGAGGCCTGCAGAGCCCCGGATGCTGGGTACCTGCCCTCCCAGCCCACTCCTGTTATGCCCACAGCCAGTGCTCAGGGATGACCCTAAGGACACCCTTTACCATCAGACCCCATTTCCTCCTTCCAATTCCACCAACGGGGTTCCTCCAGTGAGTCCTCAGAGGTGGGCCGGGCCAGCGTGGTCCCCCTCCTCCCAGGCTGAGTCTCCATGCCCCCCCCCCCCATGCCCAGGTCTCCTCCACACCTGCCGTGGCTTCCCCGGACACTGTCAGGGCCTGGACGGCACCTCAGCCCAGCTCCAGAGCACAGACATCTGCCTTAGGTTAAGTTGGGAGAATAGAGGCAGAAGTAAAAAAAAAAGAAAGAAAAAGCATAAATGTTCCCACGCCGCAGGTGTGACAAGAGGTGCTCAGCTCCTGGGATTGCTCCGGTGAGGCCTTGCTCCACCTGGCAGGTGCCCAGCCTCCTGTCCCTCCTCCCGGCTCCCAAGACGGAAGCAGAGCGACCGCAGGAGAGACCGGCCCAGGACAAAGGACACGGTACAAAGTGGAGGCCAGGAGGCTCTGCGGGCTGCTGACCTTCCCACACCGAAGGGTGGTTATCTGCGTTCTCAGGACGCAAACCCCTTACACCTGCAAGGAAAATCCCGCCCGCCATCCTCTGCTCCCAGCCACGCCCTCCTCTGCCCTCAGCCCCGCCCTCTTCTGCTCCCAGCCCCGCCCTCCTCGGCTCCCAGCCCCGCCCTCCTCTGCCCTCAGCCCCGCCCTCCTCTGCTCTCAGCCCCGCCCTCCTCTGCTCCCAGCCATGCCCTCCTCTGCTCTCAGCCCCGCCCTCTCTGCTCCCAGCCCCACCCTCCTCTGCCCTCAGCCCCGCCCTCCTCGGCTCCCAGCCCCGCCCTCCTCTGCCCTCAGCCCCGCCCTCCTCTGCTCTCAGCCCCGCCCTCCTCTGCTCCCAGCCACGCCCTCCTCTGCCCTCAGCCCTGCCCTCCTCTGCCCTCAGCCCCGCCCTCCTCTGCTCTCAGCCCCGCCCTCCTCTGCTCCCAGCCACGCCCTCCTCTGCCCTCAGCCCCTCCCTCCTAGGCTCCCAGCCCCGCCCTCCTCTGCTCTCAGCCCTGCCCTCCTCTCTCTCAGCCCCGCCCTCCTCTCTCCCAGCCCCGCCCTCCTCTCTCCCAGCCCCGCCCTCCTCTGCTCTCAGCCCCGCCCTCCTCGGCTCCCAGCCCCGCCCTCCTTGGCTCCCAGCCCCTCCCTCCTCTGCGCTCAGCCCCGCCCTCCTCGGCTCCCAGCCCCGCCCTCCTCGGCTCCCAGCCCCGCCCTCCTCTCTGCCCTCAGCCCCGCCCTCCTCGGCCCCCAGCCCCGCCCTCCTTGGCTCCCAGCCCCTCCCTCCTCTGCGCTCAGCCCCGCCCTCCTCTGCCCTCAGCCCCGCCCTCCTCGGCTCCCAGCCCCGCCCTCCTCGGCTCCCAGCCCCGCCCTCCTACGCTCCCAGCCCCGCCCTCTTACGCTCCCAGCCCCGCCCTCCTCGGCTCCCAGCCCCGCCCTCCTCTGCCCTCAGCCCCGCCCTCCTCTGCCCTCAGCCCCGCCCTCCTCGGCTCCCAGCCCCGCCCTCCTCTGCCCCCAGCCCCGCCCTCCTCTGCCCTCAGCCCCGCCCTCCTCGGCTCCCAGCCCCGCCCTCCTCGGCTCCCAGCCCCGCCCTCCTCTCTGTCCTCAGCCCCGCCCTCCTCGGCTCCCAGCCCCGCCCTCCTCTGCCCTCAGCCCCGCCCTCCTCGGCTCCCAGCCCCGCCCTCCTCGGCCCTCAGCCCCGCCCTCCTCGGCTCCCAGCCCCGCCCTCCTCGGCTCCCAGCCCCGCCCTCCTCGGCTCCCAGCCCCGCCCTCCTCGGCTCCCAGCCCCTCCCTCCTCTCTGCCCTCAGCCCCGCCCTCTTCTGCCCCCAGCCCCGCCCTCCTCTCAGCCCCGCCCTCCTCGGCTCCCAGCCCCGCCCTCCTCGGCTCCCAGCCCCGCCCTCCTCGGCCCCCTGCCGCTGGCTCCCGGGCTGGGGACCCAGGGTTTGGGGACATACTTTTTTGCCACAGCCCGAGCACTGCAGCCACCTTGGGAGCCAGAGCCATATGTCACCTGGGCGCAACCCGAGTCCCGCGTCTGTGGGGCCTGCACTGGGGCAGGTGCTCCAGAACACTCCGGGAGATGGAGGTCCACCGACC